AACTGTTTGATGACTGAAAAATAAAAGTAGAGAAGGAAGCATTTATCCTGTATTTCCTATTCAAACTCTACCTCTAGATAACAAAGAACAAAGTGAAACTCTCTTCTGATAAGTATTCCAACCAACATATCAAGAACAAATGCTTAAATTAGAATATCACCATTTTCAACTCCTCATAAATTAGAGATCAAATCAACACCATTAGTGTTTGCTAAAATTGTAAAAAACAGAAAACAAAATTGGGCAGTAGTCTGGCCAAAAAAAAAAAAAATAAGTCAAAATTGACAAGTAGAAAACGCAGAGTAGCACTTTAAATGACACCATGCCCATGTGAACACAATCAACAATGTCGAAACTATGGGAAACTCTGAGACCAGTGACTTATTTTCTTCAACAAATAAACTACAACACAAATCAAGAGGATAAGAGGGAGAGTAAGTTAGATCATATTGAATGATGCACATAAAGGAAAATAAAGAAGGGTCTACAGGGGCCAGCGCTGTGGCATAGTGGGTAAAGCTGCCGCCTGCAGTGCTGGCATCCTTTATGGGCGCCAGTTTGAGACCTGTTGCTCCACTTCTGATCCAGCTCTCTGCTATGGCCTGGGAAAGAAGTAGAAGATGGCCCAAGTCCTTGGGTCCCTGCACCCATGTGGAGGACCTGGAAGAAGCTCCTGGCTCCTGGCTTCGCATTGGCCCAGCTCTGGCCGTTGCGGCCAACTGGGGAGCGAACCAGTAGATGAAGACTTCTCTCTGTCTCTCTCTGCCTCTGTCTCTCTATAACTCTGCCTTTCAAATATATAAATAAATCTTTTTTTTTTAAAAAAAAGGGGGGGGTCTACAAAACCTACCCTATTGAAATGGGAATTGTAGTTACAGAGGTATTCAAATTATGCTAATTGATTTAGCCGAATATGTGTTTAAGTGTTGTATTTTTTTTTTTGACAGGCAGAGTGGACAGTGAGAGACCGAGAGACAGAGAGAAAGGTCTTCCTTTACCACTGGTTCACCCTCCAATGGCCGCTGCGGCCAGCACGCTGCGGCCGGCACGCTGCGGCCGGCACACTGTGCTGATCCAAAGCCAGGAGCCAGGTGCTTCTCCTGGTCTCCCATGGGGTGCAGGGGCCCAAGCACTTGGGCCATCCTCCACTGCACTCCTGGGCCACAGCAGAGAGCTGGACTGGAAGAGGGGCAACTGGGACAGAATCTGGCGCCCTGACCAGGACTAGAACCCGGTGTGCTGGCACTGCAGGTGGAGGATTAGCCTATTGAGCCATGGCGCCGGCCTGTATTATTTGTTTTTAAGAGCAAGAATCCTGTTTTTTATTTATTTATTTATTTACCTATTTATGAGTTAGAGAGATGGAGAAACTCTGATACGGGATGCAACCATCTTTTTAAATTTATGATTATGTTTTAGTAACAAAGGTACTTCTTATAAATCAAATTCAGATACTCTCTAGCGTATTCAAATATACTGTCTCCTCCATTTGATGTAGGCATCTTAACCACAACACTAAACACCTTCCCCAAGATGTTCTGTTTTTCTATATTTGTATGTAATTAAACAATAGAGGAGGTTTGGTTTGGTTTTGTTTGTTTCAGAAACTCGTGTTTATTTTCCGGCAACCTCATTTCCACTTTTGCTTCAGAGCCTGGGAAGAGCAGCTTAGGGACACTCAGCGGTTGTTGCTACCCATTCGGTGGTCTGAGCAGTAGGTGCTGCAGCCCGGTCTTCAGTGGGGAACTGCTGAAGAGGCACAGAGGACACCTGCACACCTTCAGACCAGTCTGCAACCTCAGGTTCAGTAGCAGCAAACTCAGGAGCTGGAGCAGCCTGTGCACCCTGAAATGCCTCCTTGGTCACTCTTCTTTTTCAGTCTCTTCAGGATCTCTGCAGAAGTAGAGCTCAGGCATGACATGACCTTCCATGAGTGTTCACAGGAGATGATAGCATGCACGCACAGAAACTTCCGGACCAGCATCCACCACATCAGACCCACTGAGTAGGCACCCTTGTTTGCATGGGATGGCAATGTCCACATAGCACAGAGGAGGGTTTGTGTTACACAGTGCAATGGCAGGCAAGCTTACATAAGATGCCTCTGAGGCTGCAGGTAAGCCCTAGGATCAGTAACCACCAGAAGATGTGGCTCCCAGAAGGCTGCTTGGCTCTAGTTGGTGAATGTGCTGGGTGTGAAGTGGACAGGAATAGTAGTAGCTCCAACGGCAGCAGCAAGCTTCAGTACGGCCCTCCGTCAGTGTTCTTGGAGGATAGCACGCTGACATCAACAGGGTTTTCAATGGCAACTATGGCACCAGTTGCCACCAGTAGCTTCTCCTAAGTCCTCCGCTATGATTTCCACCTCTGTTTTACCATGGAATAGCAGGTAGTGAAACACTTTGTATTATGAACAAGTAGAAAAAGTGAATTCCAAAAAAAAACCCAGCATACTGCTTGAGATCACCACAGAGGCTGAGGCTGTCGGGACCGGAGGACTCAGACCCAGACCCGGGAGTCACAGGAAGAGCATGAAGTTCAACCCAAGCTCTGGACACTGCCTTGCCCTGGGGCACTTGCAATTGAGCCGGACACCAAGTAACATAGAGGTAAGCAGGAAAACCACAGCAATTGGAATTGAAGTCACAGGTGTGTTGTTTTTTAAAGGGTATTACAAAAATCAAAAGAGAAATCACATAGTAAATCAGAAAACATTTTTAAGGAGATGAAATATCAACTCAGACATGGAGCAAGCCTGCACATCAGTGCAACCCTGAGCTATGCCCTGACAATCTGCACACATCAGACCTGCCTGCCAAGGACCACTGCTTCCCAAAGGCTGAGGGTCTGGCTGATGTCCTCCTGCAGAGCAGGATCGTTTCCAGACCACAAAGCAAGTGTAATGACACATCTGAATTTAATGAGGAGAGTTTTCCTGGCTGTACAGGATATTTTTTAAAAGCTGCTTTAGGATATAAATGGACAAAAAAATATCTCCCAGTCTTGTCCTATAATTGTTAAGCACATGCTATGGGCCAGTTGACATCTAAAATATTTCACATTTTTCCCATTCATGTTCTTGTGACTCCAAGAAAAGAGATGATGATTGATTTTCATGCAACAAATATTTTTATTATTCTGAATAATCATTGTCTTTAAAAATCTCTTAAGGAGGCTGCAAAACCTCATTTGGTTCATAAACACTATTATTTCTTTGTAAGGATATTCTATATTAAAATCAGAGGGCACTATATAGGATCTCAAAAAGGATGACATTATTTCATTCCTTAAATATGTATTGAATCTGAACTTGGAGTCCTAGAATAAACATTTTCTTTTCCTGAATGAGGGCTGTCATCAACGAAACCTAATAATCAAAGCCTTAATCTCATAATATTATTTGTCATTATGTCATTATCAAGTCTTCTTGGTGCCCTTCAGCAGAAATAATTAAATCTTTATTACTCCTTAATGAGCTCTGAAAGTTAGCTCTATTTTGAGTGTGGGATGTGCTTTGGAGCACAAAATACTGTGAGGAGCAAGAGCCAACAAGACCAAATGGGGAGCTTTCTTAGAGGCATAGAGAATACACTGGTATTTCCAAAGTAAAAGTTTCATTTTCATTTTACATGGAGGAGCCCAAGAAGTAGACAAAATTTCCACTGATGGACAAAATTACACAGGAGCATCAGTTGCCTTCTCATGGCACTCCCGGTGAACTTTCTGAACTCATTACAGCATTAACAGGAAGAAAAAAATATTAATCTTATATAATTATAATAATGATAATTTAATTTTTCTGCCATCTGGATGCAAAATTGGGAATTCTGGGCATGGTTTTAATTAAAATGAAAATGATTGTTTAACATGGCAAATGGCAATTCCCTCATGTTAGGCTGGATTATAAAATGAAACCCAGCTATAATACGGACATTGAAATGAAGTTAAAAGGAAGGTGGAATATAAACTGCCATACAAATCTATAACAGGAAGAGAGAAACATAGAGAGAGACATATTAATATCAGATAAGACAGCATTCGAAGCCAAAGAATAAAACTGAAGATGTAGATTATATCTTTAAAATGTAATCTATACTAGATTTAAGATAATTCTAATTAGAAACCCAATATGGGTACATTTGCTGTTACCATATCAATATTTTTTGAATAATTTTGCAAAGTAAATGACTGAAAATTACAAAAAAGGAAATAAAAAAGAATCATAAATGATAAACAGAGTCCAAAAGTAAATTCAGAATATATGGAAAATATAATATATGATTAAAGAATCATGTTAATTTAGATGGAAATAGAAATAGATTATTTGTTTAATGAACATACTGGCAAAATTAGCTATTCATTTAGATAGACAGATTTTTACTGGTTAAAGTGTTCACATCCCAGATCAAAGTGACTGCATTCAATTCCTAGCTCCAAATCCTAACTTCTGCTTCCTGTCAATGCAAAATGTGGGAAGCAGCAGTGAGGGCCCAAGTACCTGGATTCCTGCCACCGCTGTGGGAAACCTCGGTTTCGTTCTCAGCTCCTGGCTTTGGCTCCAGTCCAACCCCAGTCATTGTAGGCATTTGAAGAATGACCCGGTCAGCGGGAGCTTGTTCTCTCTCTCTCTTCCTCTCAAATACATAAGTAAATAATTTTAAATAAATGAATAAATACAAAAGGAAATATAAATTTAGAAATAATATGTAAAAATATTTGAAAATCTTTGAATCAAGATTACTTTAGCAAGATACTAAATCTAAAAGGAAACACTCATAGATTGGACAACTGAAATATTTTTTATTACAATATGATATCATAGACAAAATCTAGAGAAACTGTAGGGAAACTTTTTTTACAACATATAAGATTAATTTTCTGTCTACAAGATATAAAGGTAACAATAGCTTGATACAAAAATAGCTAGAAGGAAATGCAACTCAATAAAATTTTTAAAAACATGCTCAACCTCATTAATAGTCAATAAAATGCAAATAAAACAACACAGGCATCACTTTATATTCATTTATGGAAAAAATAACTTTACCTACAAACATCCAATATTGCTGAGCTTGTTCAGAACCTTGGTCTGATTAATGGAACTGAAATCTTTATGAATATCAAGAAATGACTTAGGAACTCTTTCAAAAATGAATAAGGGTGAAAAAACATAACTAAATTCTGAATGTAATTTGCAACTGGATCTCTTTGCTAAGAAGGAAAGTTATTATGACATCTGGCAAAGTTTGAATCAAGATTAGATAGTATCATAGTACTATTTATTAATATCAGTTGTGTGATTCAATGTTAATTTCTTGATACCAATAGTTGCATTTGGTTAGATAAGGAGAATGACTTTATCTGTAGCAAATAGTCAGAGTATTTGGGAAATAGTGATGCTATTTCAGAACCTCCTCTATGTTCCTTGGATTTGCAACTTTCTCTAAATTTCAAATTGTTTCGCATATTCTTGGAGGGGTAAACGAATTAAAAATCTAACCCACAAAAACATAAAAGCAGACCTGTCAGGCTGTTCTTTACCAATGGAGGTTTTTTCAAGAAGTATATATGCATCGATAAGGTAAGAAATAATTAAATTATCACACATCTGTAATATATAGTGCTTCTTCACTATGAGAATTAATTAAAGCTGCATGTGTTGAAAGAGTGGGTGTTTGGTCTAGCAGTTAACACTGCTGCATTCGGTGAGTGCCGGGTTCAGTTCCCAACTCTGGCTCCTGACTGTAGCTTTCCACCAGTGTAGATTCTGGGAGGCAGCAATGATGGCTCAGATAGCTGCTCTCTTGCCACCCACGTAGGAGACATGGGCTGAGTTCCTGGCTCCTGGCCCCAGCTCTGTCCTTGGCAGACATTTAGAAGTTGAACTAGTGGATGGAAAGTCTCTCTCGCTCTCTCGCTCTCTCCCTCTCTCTCTCTCTCACTCTGGCTCTCTCACTGTAGCTCTGGCTCCCACTTTCCATCTCTTTCTGTCTCCCTGCCATTCGGATTAAAAAACGAAAACCCTGGCCGGCGCCTTGGCTCAATAGGCTAATCCTCCACCTTGCGGCGCCAGCACACCGGGTTCTAGTCCCGGTCGGGGCACTGGATTCTGTTCCGGCTGCCCCTCTTCCAGGCCAGCTCTCTGCTGTGGCCCGGGAGTGCAGTGGAGGATGGCCCAAGTGCTTGGGCCCTGCACCAGCATGGGAGGCCAGGAGAAGCACCTGGCTCCTGCCTTAGGATCAGCGTGATGCGCCGGCCACAGCGCGCCGGCCGCAGCGGCCATTGGAGGGTGAACCAACAGCAAAAGGAAGACCTTTCTCAATGTCTCTCTCTCTCTCACTGTCTACTCTGCCTGTAAAAAATTAAAAAAACAAAAAACAAAAAACACCTAAACCCTATTTGTGCTTCATTTCCACATTTGAACATGCTTGGTCTCATAAATGATCAATGCAGGGAGAAGACCCTGCTAAGTGCAGTAGCACTCCAATGAGCACCTTATCAAACCTATCTGGTGATTAGGTAAGCAAAGAGGAAGATACTAACCGTTTATGTAATTAGGTGCAAAAACACTTGAAGAGGCAAGTCATGATTTTCATTCATATGAAACGATTTCCCTTTTTGTTTAACAAACTAAACCCACCACTATAATGTAGTTTTGTTTAATATGTCGAAAATTTCCAAACTGCCACAATGTAACTGTGTGTTCCCATTCTTCATTCATTCCAATGAGGTCAGCCACATCCTAACTGTGTTTGGTTTAGACATTAACTTCCTACTGTTGTCTCCATGGGACAAATGGCAATGATGAACTGAAGTTCACTCCAACCAGAAAGTGTAAATAACAAGCTTATTATCCCTGAAAGAGTTATGAGTCCACCCTTCTTAACAAGCTGCTATTCTCTAGGGAACGTTCTGGTTAAATATCTGTCAATTTCAAGATTCAGATTGCTGACTCTGGTGTCACTGCAATTCAGACCCTAATGAACAGAAAAGCTCTGCTTCCCAGGCAGACTGCTGACCTGCTCATGTGGCACTATTTTCACCAGGAACATGCTGGCAACAGGACAACATCTGACATTCCGACAGTACCCAATATTGGTCAACTCACAAGGATCAGAAATTAATTCAGGGGGGCCAGCACGGTGGTGCAGTAGGTTAATTCTCCAGTTTGAGTCCCAGCTGTTCCTCTTCCAATCCAGCTCTCTGCTTATGGCCTGGGAAAGCAGTGAGAAGATGGCTCAGGTCCGTGGGCCCCTGCACCCATGTAGGTGACCTGGAAGAAGCTCCTGGCTTCAGATCGGTGCAGCTCTGGCCATTGCAGCCATTTGGGGAGTGAACCAACGGACGGAAGACCTTTCTCTCTATCTCTCCCTCTCACTGTCTGTAACTCTACCTCTCAAATAAATAAATAAAATACTAAAAAAAAAAGAAATTAATTCATGCTAACCTGAACAACTTCAGTTGTTTAGTCAATTGACTAATATGTAAGCAAATGAGGACATTCCATCTCCTCTTCTGTGCCCTTCTCTACCCAAATCGGTTTTGGCTTCTGTGCACTTGAATGCACATGGGAATTTGAATCCAAGCAGGAGAAATGCTAGTCTGAGTAGACATGCCAAAGCCCTAAGAGCCACTTCAGCTTTGTTTACATTCACTCTAGATTGATCATCATCCCCATCGCTCACGTTTTTCCTATAGTATACACTCTTGACAATAGCTTATTTGGCCACTTTGAAAAATAGTATTGCCGTTTGTCTAAGGCTCACCATTTGGATCTGTGATTCAAGGGCCTCAGAGCACACTCTTTTACTGGGATATGCTAAGCATTGATCACCAGCTGTGTGAGGGGAGACAAGAAGAAACTTTTCCAATTCTCCGTGAACATCAAGGGAAGGCACTCTGCATCACCACCAACTCTGAGCCTTGAGCTTTCTGCCCTAGGGGATGAACAGCTAGTTTTCTTGCATGGTCTGTGATAAGACACAATATTTGTAGTTTTCTGCTCAAGCGGCCTAATATAGGTAATGTTTTAATTTTCATTTTTCTCTTCATATCACATCATAAACAACTCATACACAGGCCTTATCCAATATTGCTATATCCCATCCAACACACACAAATACACTCATTAGTCCCTGTTCTGATGTACCGATCATCACAGATATAAAGTGATTTCTCATTAACTGTGCCTTAAAGTTTTCACACCTTTCTGATGCAAGTTTTCTTTATTTGTAAAATCAAATCCATGTTTGTGTTTGATATGTTTCTAGCAAATGCCGATTTCATGGAAACGAAACTCTTAAATAGTAATTATTAGAAGTGATAAAATAGCTACTCCTGTTCCATGAAGAGCAGACCCAACACACAATAAACAGCAAAGCTTTATAAAGGAGAGGATTCACCTAATCTGCTCTCCCACCCTTCAAGCAACCTCCCTCCAAGCCATGCAGGTTGTGTTAAGTGGTCAGTAAATATATACATAGAGTTAGGACAGGTTTAAGACAGTGGTGCCTTCTTTCTACATCACAGAATTCTACCTGATTAAAAACATAAAAATTTGTTGGATACCTTATAAGTATGTTTGTGGAGGCTCTCATAACAAAACAAAAACAAAAACAAAACACAGATGCAGGTGTGAAATGTACAGGTTTCTGTTCTCACAGCCTGGAGGGTGGAAGTCCAAGGACAAGAGGTGACAATGTGGCGATCTTCTGAGGACTTGCCTAGGACTGTCCTTTTGCTGCATCTTCATATTTTTGCTGCTATGTACACACATGCTCTTGATGCCTCCCTGTGGGTCTCTTCATAGAAAGACAACAATCAGAATTGATTAGGGCTCATCCTAAGGACCTCCTTTTATCTTAATTAGTCCTTAAAGGCCTGTCTCTCAATATAGGCACATTTTGAGGTATTGGGGGCTTAGGGTTTTATTCTTATGTATTGATGGCAGGGGTGGCAGTGACTCAATTCAGCTCCAACACATTCCTGCTATCTAGCAATTTGAAGGCAATGAAGATGATACAGTCCCCGTGTCAAGGAGGAGAGCGTGCATCCCATTAGAGAGAAGTTGGTAAACAAACTATAAGAATGTAAGTACTGCAAAATGGAACCTGAATATTGTTGTTAAGATTCAAAGAGAATAAAAGGTTTACTGGTCTGGCTCTGTGGTGCAGTAGGTTAATCCTCCACCTGCAGTACTGGCATCCCATATGGGTGCTAGTTCTAGTCCTGGCTGCCCCACTTCCAATCCAGCTCTCTGCTATGGGCTGGGAAAGCAGTGGAAGATGGCCCAAATCCTTGGGCCCCTAAACCCATGTGGGAGACCGGAAGAAGCTCCTGGCTCCAGGTTTTGAATCAGTGTGGCTCTGGCTGTTGCAGCCATTTAGGCAGTGAACCAGCAGATGGAAGACCTTTCTCTCTGTTTCTCCCTCTCACTGTCTGTAACACTACCTCTCAAAGAAATAAAGAAAATCTTAAAAAAAAAAAAAAAAGAAGGTTTGCATACATTGGGTAAGAGTTCATGGAGCAGATGGGATTTAAGGATGTACTTTGCGAGTTCTTTGGGACAGGAAACGAATATCTAAACGTTAATGAAATGCCCTATGGGGCTTTAATCTTCAACATAGCCTTTAGGTGGTAGCTTTGTTCTTATTTTGAAAAGAGGAAAAATTGAGATTTAGAGCGTTCGGTTATAACATTGTATTATAATAGCAAACATCTTGAAAATGAAATGTCCGAATCTGTCTTATTCTACTTTGCCAGATGCAGAATTAGAAAATTCAGGTTTCAATAGAAAAGGATAGTATAAAAAAAACCTCCATAATGAGTTTTTCTAAGTCTTGCAAAAATTGTTTAGTATGAAAAAATCTATAAATAAAAAATATTCAAAAATACACTAAAAGACAAAAATATACTCATTTTAAGTATATCTAGACAAAATTACATTATAAAATTCAACATTATTTTTAATTAAAACCTTGAAAATAGGAAATTTCTTAACCTAACAAAAGACATCTACCAAAACTCTATACCAAAAATCTATCTAAATGATTAAGAATTAAAAGTATTCTGGGGCCAGCACCATGGCTCACTTGGCTAATCCTCCGCCCTCGACGCCGGCATCCCATATGGGCACTGGGTTCTAGTCCCAGTTGCTCCTCTTCCAGTCCAGCTCTCTGCTGTGAAGGAAAGGCAGTGGAGGATGGCCCAAGTGCTTGGGCCCCTGCACCCGCATGGGAGATCAGGAGGAAGCACCTGGCTCCTGACTTCAGATCAGTGCAGCGCCGACCATAGTGGCCATTTGGGGAGTGAACCAATAGAAGAAAGACTTTTCTCTCTGTCTCTCTCTTACAACTCTATCTGTCAAAAAAAAAAAAAAAAGTATTCTGTTTAAAATCTAAAGACAAGCAAGTGTCTACTCAGAATTTTACTGGATGTGGTGATCAAAGCTGTTAGAAAAAAAAGAAATAAACAGCATAAATATTGGAAAGCAAGGTAGGATCATCTGGTTTAAAACTTCAGTGTACATTTTACTAGAGGAGAATAGGTAGAGATTAGCAATGATGATAGAATATAGAGGTGGATGTAGCTGTTTGGTTGAGATGTTGGATTATAGATTAGCTGGAGAAGTATGGGATTTTGCTTTGTAACTTTGTATCATATTATCTACATATACTGAATATATTTTGCATATATTAAACATTAGAAGATAATAGTCTTTAAAATATGGTAAAAGTATGAATACTTACTCAAAAACAGTGAATTAATGTTTAACTTTTTTTCTCCTAACTGATCTCCACACATTTTCAATTTAGGCCTACACACGAAAACAAATCTACTGAATTCAACTTTGTCTTTTTCCAGCACTTGGATCTCTTGGAAACAAGCAAGCAGTAGCTAGGTAAACATAAACTATTGAAATAATCTTAGGTATTAGTAGTATTTCACATATATCAGAATATCTGTTCTGTACAGTTTTTCATTGTGAATCTTTTGGACCTCCCCACCTGTTTTGTTCCTCTCCTTATCTTGGTCTTTAAAGAATTCTTGAACTTTCCATCTGTTCTAAGGAAACACCATAGCGGATAAGTGCTTTTGTCTGGCTCATTTGAATAAGTATGTTCTGTGTGCCTGAATGGAACAGGGACCAAGGGAAGGAAGGAAAAGTGCCCTAACAACAGCCCATCTGGCTACTTTTCTTCAGTCATGCATAATTTGTAGATGTTGCTCTCTAGATAAGAATTCTCTAGATACCAGACGCTGATCTGGTGTACATTGCTGAATAATGCATAGTGCTAGCAGGACAAGTAAACAAACCAGCAATAACACATTACAGAAGGCTGAGTGCTGGATAGAAGTGCTAGGGGAGCACAAGTGAGAGGCACCTCTCTTAACGTGCGAGAGTTAAAGGAAAAGCACTTAGACCATTAATGGGTTGTTCACTGGAGGGATTTTATGTACACCTGTCTGTGGTCAGCAGAACACTGTCAGCCAAATTTGCCTACACCTAATCCCTGAACTCTGTGGATATTCTACATTCTATGGCAAGGGGGGATTGAGATTGTCAATGTAATTAGTATTGCTCATCAACTGACCCTAATAGGAATACAAAGATTATCTTGAAGTATCCAAGTCCTTTAAAGATAGAAGATGGAGAGAAAGGGGTCAGCGTCAGAGTGATGCAGTCTGAGACAGACTCACCTGTTGTCAATGGCTTTGAAGGTGGAAAGGGACCACAAGCCACAAGAAGAGGCAAACTTTAAAAGCTAAAGCTTTTCTAAAAAATCCATTCTAGACTCTCCAAAAAAGCTGCAACCCAATAATTCCTTGATTTTAGCCTAGTAATACCCACTTTTGAATTCTAAATTTCCCTAACTATAAGCTAATATAATTGTTTTAAGGCACGACCTTTGTGGGCTTTGTTAAGGCAGTCACAGACAATGAATATGATGACTTTTATCAAGGAAACCTGGGGTAATTCCTAGTTTTATGAACCATTAAATGAGAATGAATTCTTTAATTTGGGTTTCTGTAACTATTGGTATGATCATAATTTACTTTTCTGTTTTAGTCTTTAAATGACGAGTAATATTGATTGATTTTCAAATTTTAAACTAGCCTGGCATCCCTGAAAATAACCATACTTGGTCATTATTTCTTTTATATACTACTGTATTTAATTTACTATTATCTTTTTTTAAAGATTTATTTATTTTTTTAAAGGCAGAGTTACAGAGAGGCAGGGGGAGAGAGAGAGAGAGAGGGAGAGAGAGAGAGAGTCATCCATCCGCTGGTTCACTCCCCAGATGGCCACACTGCCAGAGCTGCACAGATATGAAGCTTCCTCTGGGTCTCCCACATGGGTGCAGAGGTGCAAAAACTTGAGCCATTTTCTACTGCTTTCCCAGGCCATAACAGAGAGCTGGATTGGAAGTGGAACAGCTGGGACTGGAACCGGCACTGCAGGAGGTGGCTTTACCCACTATGCCACAGCGCCAGCCCCCTACCATTATCTTGCTGCAAACATTTGCATCAGTGTTTATAGAAACTACTCAATCTATACTTCTTTTTTCCTTCAATATTTATTTATTTAGTTATTTGGTATCAAGAGAACGAGACATAATGAGAAATCCAAAAGATGTTACAGAACTGATGGAATTCCCCTGGAAACCAACTGTGCCTAGAGTTTTCTGAGCCCTGAGATAGGGGTATTTGTATTTTGTCTGGGAGTTCTAGTTGCAATTAGTGTGAATAATGTAGTTGTGCCCTAATTGGCATAATATTTGCTGGCACAAGAAGGCTTTGTGTAGTATTTGCTTCATTCTCTTTCTGCTAGAGTCAATATTTCTAACACCTGGCGTGTATGTCTTTCATTATTTATGGAAACTTTCCAGTCATTATTTCTGCAAACTTTATCCCCCCTTCATTCTTCTTCTTGATTTTTTTTTCTGGTGCTCCAATTAAACATATATTAGGACTTTTCTATTCTGTCCCTATTCTTAACTACTTTCCTATTTTCTTATACATCTAGGTAATTTCTTCAGATACATTTTCCTTTACAATAATTCTCAACTCTGTCTACTCTGCCATTAAATAATAACTTTAAAATTAATTTTTTATTTGAACATTTATAATTTTATTAGTCATTATTCATTTGTCAACATGGCTAGGCTATGGTATCCAGTTGTTTCATCAAACACTAGCCTATCTACATGTGCTGTGAAGCTATTTTGAAGACATAATTAACATTTACAACCAATGGCTCACAATAAAGGAGATTACCCTCACTAACATGGTTGGGACTTCCTCAGTTAGTTTAACACCCTCTGAGAAAATCTGGTTATCTAAAAAGGGATTCCTGCCCCAACTGTAAAAGAGAAACTCTGTCTGAGTTTGCATTCTTCCAACCTGCCTTACAGTTTTGAACCAACTCTGCAACAGTTTTTGTCTGTAAGCTGTCTTATGATTTTCAAACTTGCAAGCCTCCCCAATTATGTGAGCTATATAAGACTAGATAAATGGCAGACAGATACATAGGTAAATAGAAATTCAGATGATTACATCAATTTTGTTAGTTCTGTTTCTTTGAAGAATCCTAAGTAACTCAATTATCGAATTGGTGTGGACATTTTTAGTTTTTTCATGAATTACTGCTTTTATTTTGGTAAACAGTTCCAACAGAGTAATTTTGGAGTTTATATTTAATACTTCAAATTTTTTAATCATTTGAAAAACTAAATCTATTTTTGATTATTCTGGTGACTATTTTCCTTGGTGATTTGGTCACGTGTATATTTGTGAC